GAGTTGAGCTGTGTCGGTTAAACAGCTGGAAACTTGCCAGCTCTACTCTCCCAGCTGTAATTCAGTTAGCCAGCCGTAATTAAGTTATTTACCTTGTATAAATTCCCCCTGTGATTGTTTTTTTCATTTTTATGGTATCAGAGCAACGTTGACCCTGTCTCTCTGCTACTTGCATGGCGACTGAAAGTGACCCTTCCTCTCCTTATTTCTTGCACCCGTCGGATAATCCAAAAGCGATGCTCGTTTCGAGTCCTCTCACCGGCGAAAACTATTTGACATGGCGATAAACAATGCACAACGCCCTGCAAGCGAAGAACAAATACGCTTTTGTTGATGGTTCGTTGCCAAGACTAGAGGATTCTGAGAAGGAGTAGGCTTGGGTGAAGTGTAATTCCATGGTGATCTCTTTGATCTTTAATTCTTTGGCAAGAGATCTCCATGAAAGTGTTGTTTACATCAAAACTGCGCAAGAAATTTGGAAGGATCTTGAAGATCGCTTCTCTCAGAGCAATGCACCACGCATACACCAACTGAAGCGGGGCATTGCTCTATTACAGCAAGCCGGACAATATGTGGTGCTACAAAGGAATTTGCAGTTGAGCGTGAATGAGAGCGGCTTCATCAGTTCCTCATGGGACCGAATAAAAGCTTCAATACCATCCGGACTAACATTCTCAGTTCAGATCCGCTGCCTGGAATCAATACAGCCTACAATCTAGTTGTTCAAGAGGAACAACATCAATCACTTGTTGGTGTACGATCAATTCCCGCCACAGATGCAACGACCTTGAATACTGTCACAAAACCAAACACAAAAGCAGGGGAACCATCATGGAGATCAAAGCTCAAATGCGACTATTGCAAGAAAGGTGGATACACAAAGGATCGTTGTTACGAGCTTCATGGCTACCCTATTAACTGGGAAAGGGGGCACAATTCACAATCCAAGAAATCCAGTGACACTCAGATTGCAGCACAGACGTCTGTTGAGACAGAAGAAGTTAAGCAATCTCTTTCTGATAATGCATCTCCGATCATCGGAGTAACATATGAACAATACCAAAAGCTGATCAACGATCTTGGACCCGAGAAGACCTCATCAACAAATCCTATGACTTCATCTAACTTTGCTGGTATGATCATTGAATCTTCGTCCCATGCATCATCTTGGATACTAGATGCAGGTGCATCGGATCATATGACACCATATCTTGATCATATGATTCCGCTGAAATCATCTCATCCTGTGAAATTATCGGACGATACAGTCTTGCCAATTACTCATCACGGATCAGTATCTCTTACACCTTCTCTCACCATTGATAAAGTGTTGTGCATCCCACAATTTCAATGCAATCTCTTATCTGTGAGCAATTTGACCTCACAACTTCACTATTGTGCTATATTTCTTTTGGAATTTTGCATATTGCAGGACTTAGTCTCGAACAAAGTGATTGGAGTGGGTAGAATGCACAACAGAATTTATCACCTACATACTCCCAAATCCATGCCATCCCCAACCTCCCCACTATCGATAGCTGATGCTGATTCTTTGACTTCACCTACCATAAATAATTGCACTACTATTGATTACCAATTGTGGCATAGATGGTTAGGACATGCATCCTCCAACTGAATTACTTCATTGTTTGGCAGTTCCCTTGCTGAAGATCATTGTTGTGAAGCTTGTCACCGAGAAAAATTCACTCGGCTCCCCTTTCATCTCAGCACCTCTAGGGCTGTTGCACCTTTTGATTTACTAGATCGTGACACTTGGGGTGGGTACCAAACCCCATCCATTACTGATATTCATTTTTCTTAACCATTGTAGATATCCATTCTCAGTGCACCTAGGTGTATTTGGTGAAAAATAAATCAGAGACGTTTTCTCTTTTGACTGGTTTTTGTGTTATGATCAAAAATCAATTTGGAATCTCAGTTAAGGTTATCCATTCTGATAATGGGTCCAAATTCACATCTGGACCAATGATGAAGTTTTATACGACAAACAGCTTTATTCATCAGCGTTCATGTGTTGACACTCCTCAACAAAATGGAATTGTTGAGCAAAAGTATTGACATGTCCTAGAAGTGGCACGGGCTCTTTGGTTTCAGGCATCATTGCCCTTGTGTTTTTGGGGTGAATGTGTTCTAACAGCTACCTATCTCATCAACTATACGCCCACATCTACATTGAATGGGCGCACACCTTATGAGACTCTATTTCACAAAGCCCCTTCATATGATCATATTCATGTTTTCGGATGCTTGAGCTTTGGTAGAGTCACTCCAAAACCACATGAAAAGTTTGCTGCAAGGGCACGAAGATGCATCTTTGTTGGTTATTCTTTTGCGCAAAAGGCTTACCGTTTGTGTGATTTTGACACACATCAAATATTCGTCTCACGAGATGTTACCTTCCATGAATCTGTCTTCCCTTTCGCCGCCACCACAGATCAGAACAGTCAAGTACAATTTTCGGTTGTGCCATTACCTAGTGCTGATGATAGCCTACCTATGGTTGCTCACCCCCTATCCGAGCCAATGACCAATTCCAAAATGGAACCCTCAGTAGCACCAGCACTCACTTCCAATCTTGCCCCTGTCATTAATCAACCTGCTAAACCCAAGCCAACGCGTACCCGATGCACACCCTCTCATCTTCAAGACTATATATGCTCTCTACCTACTTCCTTACATTCTGCCTTCTACACTTGTATTTCATCTCACGTTGAGCCTTAGAACTACCATCAAGCTGCCAAGGACCCAAAATGGCAGCAAGCTATGGCGGATGAAATAAATGGTTTGGTACAAAACAATACTTGGAGTATATTGGATTTACCCCCAAGAAAGCATGCCATTGGCAAAATAGGTGTACAAAGTCAAATTTAAAGTAGATGGTTTAGTTGAGCGGTATAAAGCCTGCCTTGTAGCAAAGGGTTACAACCAAGTTGAAGGGTTAAGCTACCACGACACCTGTGCTCTTGTAGCCAAGCTAGTCACTATACGGGCTCTTATTGTCGTTGCCATAGCAAAACATTAGGATTTGCATCAATTAGATGTAAATAATGCTTTCTTGCATGGTGATTTGCATAAAGATGTTTACATGACTATTCCTCAAGGGTTCGAACAAGGTCAACCTAATAAGGTTTGCAAACTACATAAATCACTATATGGGCTCACAAGCCTCCTGAATGTGGTTTGAGAAGTTCACCATCGCCTTGAAGTAGTATGATTTTCAACAATCTCTCAATGATTATTCTCTCTTCACTCTTCATCGTGATGGCCATTTCACTAGTGTACTTGTGTATGTGGATGATCTCATTATTATGGTGACTCTTCATCATGTATTGAAGATCTCAAGAACTATCTTCAGTCATGCTTCCCTCTTAAAGATCTCGGTCCGCTGACCTACTTTCTAGGTATTGAAGTCATCACTAATCAGCAGGGTATTTTTCTCTGCCAACAAAAATACATACATGACATTCTTCAAGAAACTAACATGTTGGAGTGCCGGCCCAGTCATATTCCAATGGAGCAACAAAAACATTTCCATGATGACAGCAGCCCATTACTTTCAGATTCAACTCAATATTGACGCCTAGTTGACCACTTAGTGTATCTTACAGTCACATGGCCAGATTTATGCTATTCAGTGAATATCCTAAGTCAATTCATGCATCAACCACGACAAGAACACATGGATGCTGTCATGAAAATTGTTCGCTATCTTCGGGCTACTGCCAACCTAGGCCTCTTTTTCTCTTCTACCAATGATCTATGCCTTACTGGATATAGTGATTTGAATTGGGCAAGCTGTCCCATCACTCGGCGCTCCACCACAGGTTATATTACCATGCTTGGTACATCTGCCATATCCTGGAAAACCAAGAAACAACATTCAGTCTCCCGTTCTTCAGCTGAGGTTGAATACCGAGCTATGGCATCCACAACAGTTGAGTTAATATGGTTAAAGCGCATCTTACAAGAACTTACAGTTTCATTTGATCGGCCCATCGAACTTTGCTGTGATAGTCAATATACTCTACATATTGCGACCAATCTGGTATTTCATGAACGTACCAAACACATTGAGTTAGACTGTCATTTTATCCGTGAGCAAATCACCAACAACACTATTCACACTTCCAATTTGCAAAGCGCAAAACAGCCTGCTGATTTATTCACAAAGGCACTTGGCACTAATCAATTCCATTTCCTAAGAAGCAAGTTGGGCATCTAGTCTCTTCCTGCTCCAACTTGGGGCGTATTATCTCATGTCATTTACACATACATCTAGAAAACAGAGTTGATCTGTGTCGGTTAAACAGCTGGAAACTTGCCAGCTGTGCTCCTAGCCAGCTGTAATTCAGCTATTTACCTTGCATAAATCCCCCCTGTATATTGAATAAACGGTGGTTGTTTCTTTCATTTTTAGATATCCTGCAAGTAAAAATTTTGTTCACACAACATCCAGCGCCACATCGATCTCCCCTACATGTAGATGTATATTAAATTTACAAATAGATGTTCTCAAATGTACAACAAGAGCTCCTGTGCTTTCAGAATGTGCAAAGTTTTTACTTGCAAGAGAAGAGATCCCGGTCACAACATGAACATGCTGATGCTGGGCATGAGATGATCTTGACAATCAAACAAATGATGATTAAAGCGGAGTTACAAAATAAAATCATCCATATTGGCGAGCACGGAGCACCCCTTGAATTCTTCTACAAACTTGCACATTTTCAATCAGCGCTTCAGCATTGTTCATTTGTTCTTATTTTACACGGATGGTGGCCAGATTTCTCGTGCAATTTCCAACCCCAAACTGTTGAAATTCTTTAGTAGGCAAGCAAAGCACAAGCAGATAGATTTGGTAATATACTATATATATGTATAGCTCAACTTTTGAGAGGTTGTTGCAATGGCTATAAATATAACTATGTAATTCTTATAAACTCATTTTATTTTACAAGTCTAAAAAATAACACGAGGTACACGATCAAACTTTCGAAAGCTCCAGCACTATTAACTAGTTCAAATTTCCATTTCACACCATATTGCCCTCTATTTATTTTGGGGGAGCTAATCTGAGGATTTTATTAATATACATATAGAAGAAAAGGAAGTTGCAAACTTTAACTTTACAACAGAACTGTGCAATGAGCCAGCTAGCTCATCCACCCCATTTTATAATTACAGACCCATTACCTGCACTATTAATAGCAGGCTCTAGATACATTTCCCCCTCTTTACCCTTCTCTGGCAAGTTCATCTGCTAGAGTGAACGGCAGATTTCCTAACCAACCTAAAGCACGTAGGCTGCCAGTTAGAAATGTGGCATCCCAAGATAATGTCTGAAAACCCAGTAGAGCCTGACCCCTCCTCTCATTCATCTTCAAACCTTTTTGTACTAATAAACCCCAAATTTACAGATCTCCAGAAGCTATAGTGTTCCGTCAATATGATCATTTCTGAAAGGTTGTCATGGGCCCCTAATGTGATCTTCAGCGAAAAAAGTACTTTCTCCCTCTCTGTCTACGAATCCCAATAGCAATTGTGGTCAACTCTACAACCAATCATCTGCTAACGCATGACACAATATAGCGACCTTTCTCCAGATCATAGATAGTCTTGTATTGGGGTTTTTGCCACTTTGACAGGGACCATGCTGTAAAAATCACCATGATAAAGACAAAAAAGAGGGAAACCAACATGGATGAATCATCACTGACATTGGTAACAATCCAATCAACTTCCATACCCGACTCAGCTGTATTTTGCAAGATGAAAGCTCCCAAAGCCCAGTCAAGTGGCATATTTGCAACCTGATTTGCAACCAGAATCCTGCTCAACAAAAGTAACTATACGATCAAAAGATTTGAAATTGCATGGAATGCTTCGCTAAATAGACTCTGACAAGCATAGATACTTGGTACATTCAACTCGAAACAATTATATTCCAGACTGAGCTTATGTACTATATGAAACACTTATGTATTAGAAATGCTGGATAAAACCTTTGAGAACAATGAAAAGACATTTAAGTTTAGTTGAATTAAGTTGGGAGTTAGATCACAAGACTGTAGTTGATGCAAATTGCCAGTAGTGCTATGACCCCCTATATGGGTAGGTTAAAAAAAAGAGAAGGTAAATGGGGAAAAACTATTAATCTTCATCAGTTGTTAGGCTTTTTGGAACATAATAATTTTCTAGATTAACTTGAGATTTTGATTTTGCATTTTATGGATAGAAAACATGATCTTCCTAGATATGGCTTTTAAGACAATGATAAACAGTGTTTTCTACTAGATAGAACAGTGGCTAAAGAAGGCCACGATGTCTGTGGATAAGGCAGAGTTATACCACATGCAAATTTGACAGCTTTCTGGGGAAGCAAACCAGGAGTAAACTTGTTTTTGATAATTTGTAAACAGGTACCAAGAGTATAACATTCAGTCACCTACTTAAAACCAGGGATGAGGAAATGATAGGTCCAGGATGTACCACATAAACTTGGTTTGTAGATTATCATGTAGCCCACCCCATATAGTTGAGATAAGGCTTAGATGATGATCAAGGTTTTAAAAACTGGCAGGGAAATGGAACCACTTTGGCCTCCGTTTTCCAGGTCAGCAGTTCAACTGTCTGTTAGGTATAACATGAAAAGAGAAGAGGAGAAGAAGAAGAAAAGAGTAGGCAGTTCAACCTCTCTCTCTCTCTCTGAACAGTTCAGCAGTTGGTTAGACTGTCCAGATCAATGGTTTGTTGACCAATTCAATGTTTTTTAAATAATGGGTCAGCGGGTAAATGGAACCAGAATGGTGACCGGTTTCCAGTCTGAACAGCTCAACTGCCTGGGGTCAATGACGTTTTGAAAACATTGATGATGATCATGATATAATCACGGAATAATCTTGGGAGGAAGTGGCAGAAATCATAAAAGGAAATACCTTTGATCATCCAATGAAATTCCAAGAGTATCATGCAGTAGAGCCACAATATAAGATGAAGAGAAGCAATATCGCAGCAAATCATCCTCAGAAAGGCTACTGTATTTCTTTTTGAGTGCTGACCGGTCTTCTTCACAAAACTGTTGTCCAGTSAACATCAGATTGGAGAGAAATGCTGTTTCAGGCAGTCTGAAGAACTGTCAAGCAAAAGCAAAAAAGAAATGGAGGCTTAGAAATCATATAACCAAGTAATAGCACAATACTACWAACAGGAAGAATATATTTTTAGAAGGCATTGAGTCATTRACKATACAYAGCCAATAGGGTAATTCTTACAAACATATTTAAACTCCATATATGAACTTTTATTTTTAAACTCCATATGTGAAATTGTTGATAACCTGCCAGAAGGGTGAGGAATCTGTTTAGAAGCCTAATTTAAAGATCAGGTTCCCCCAATTACTAACTCTGGGATGTGTCTTTAGGCCCGGCATTTACCATTACACTCACTTCTAATCTTCTTTTAGATAAGTTACACCACTTCTAATGTTAATACAGTTTGTTTAGGCTGTTAAAAGAGGAAAAAAAATCAGACTGACATATATGAAAAAATTCATAAAACCTTTGATGTATGATAGAAATTCTCTGTGGCCAAGAATTTTCCCTGCAGCTTTGGTATGAAGGTTGATCCGATGTAACAATGCTGGAAAGGGCATTTCTCTGGAGAAAGATGGTTGTCATTAATTGTCTATAAAGCAACAGATAAGCTCTTGATGAAGAACAAATGTGGGTTTATTACAAATAGAAGATTTCTAAGAGTGTTTGCAACCTTTTCCTTTCTGTAACAGCATTAGAGCAGCAGATCTACATTCTGAGAAGTTACCCCTCGCATGAAGAGTTGGAAGATATTTGCTCTTTTCATCCAGTACAGCAGGTGGGAGACTCTGGAACTGCACTTCATGTGAATACCCTTTAGGAGAACATGGATCTATAGACACTGTCTCTCCAACAGATTGTGCAGCTGCATTAGTAAGAAAGGGATTAGATTTTCAAAATTTCAATACTTCCTACTACTAGTGATTAAAGTTTACAATAAATAAATAGCTTTACAATATGAACATGGATCTATAGCAACTGTTTCTCTAACAGATTGTGCAGCTGCATTAGTAAGAAGGGGATTAGATTTTCAAAATTTCAATACTTCCTACTATTGGTGATAAAAGTTTACAGTAAATAAATTTGCAATATGAAATTCTTTTTGCATCCTGATAATTCTTTATTGTTATCTAACAAGTGAAGAACGTGGAGCACAGTTTTCAGACACTGAGACTTGATACTTGATACTTTATTTTTAAGGAATTTCTATAATTATGTTACTACTTAAATTGATATAAGAACATTCTAACAGCTTTAGTCTAAATACATATTCTTAATATTCCGTAATTGTTAACCAATGTTTTTTCTTTTTTGCTTACTCTTCTTTTGGGCAATAGGAACTTCTATTAAAAAATAATAACAAGACAACAAGACAACCGGAACCAGAAAACACAAACAAGAAAAATATAGAAAGAATCAAAGAAACAAAGACAGAAGGCATCAGATAGCACAATCCCTGACAGTGTCAATCCCTTCCATAAAATCTATCTTTATCCTTGTTCTAAGTATCATACAACCAAGTTGGGGGTGGGGGAACCAGACCAGATTCCTTGAGCCTGAAAAACCATTGGAGGATTTACACAAGGGAACTCTTTATCCTTCTCCTCTTTCTTCTCTTCTTGAAACCCATGGATCTTTTATGCTCTACTGGTAAAACCCTTAAACAAAGCATATTACATAGGTAAAATATACAATATATACAGGACGTTTTACAAATATAGCACTAATATGTAGCCATAGTAATAATATTACAATAAGGTGTCAACCTTGTTATTTTTGCTGCCATAAATTGACACCTTATTGCCTAGGTGGGTGTTTTGTCACCTAGATAGGCACCCTTTTTTTATAAGGCATGGCATTCAGGCAAGGCACCAAACCAAGGCTGCCTTGTTGCCTTGACAACTATACTTTTTTTGATCGGTACTTGACAACCATTCTTTGATGTTAAATAGGTAATTAGCTATATTGTACGCTGTATTTATGCTTTTTAGAACTTAATAGCTTAGCCTATGGGGGGTTTATACAAGGCTATAATGTTCCTGTTAATAGCATGATGCTCTGACCAGTTGAGCTAAGATTTTTTTTTTTTGAAATATCTTATTTTTCAGAATTTAAATTTGTATGCTAATTTTTTTTTCCTTTTGATTTCAAAATTAGCATCTCACTTTGTTCAGGCATACACTTCCACCTCTAACCATAAGAGATCTAAATAAATACAGATAGGTCCAGAGAGGCAAATACTGCTTTTTTTTTCTTTTGATTTCAAAATTTCTCACTTTGTTCAGGCACACACTTCCACCTCTAACCATAAGAGATCTAAATAAATGCAGGTTGATCTAGAGAGGAAAATACTGCTATTAATAAATGCAGGTTGATTTAGAGAGGAAAATACTGCTATTTTTTTTTCCTTTGATTTCAAAATTAGCATCTAACTTTGTTCAGGCACACACTTTCATAAGAGATCTAAATAAATGTAGGTTGGTCCAGAGAGGCAAATACTGTCTCTCTCTAAATTCCTCACAACCTACAGTAACATACACAAAGTGGACACATATTATGGCACTCCATGGAAAACATAACTTTGTTTATCCCATCTAGTCGCTATATATTTTCTACATAATGAATGTATCAAGTAATTGAATAATAAGCCCAAAGATTTAGCATTCCCACTAAGCATCCATCCTCCCAACAGAAGCTGCTTGGTGAAATAACACACTACTATCATTTATTATATGAACTAAGCATGAGGTTGATGGCTTAAAATATCTGCACTCGCTGCTTGTCAAACATCATCTGCTATAGCCTGTATGCTTCATTATTGCCAGTCCTGAATTGTTCTACAAAAGACTCATGACCAAGTCTTACACCAACAGAAACATCTTTTCCTACAACTTTGCTCCCACTGAAAAAGCACCAGTTCTGATATGTATTGTTACCACTAATATCTGCATTGATTTTATTTGTCCAGAATAATCTACCTATAGTCTGTATGTTTTTGTGCAATCAGTCCTGAATTATTCGACAACAGATTTATGCATAGTCTTAGTGCCCTTGAACCAACACAGAAGAATGACAATTTTTCCTGATAAAACACCAGTTCTTATTCTTCTTCCATTCTTTTCCTTTTTGGGAAAATCTATGATACCGGAAAGACAGGTTATCGGAAGAGTTTTGATCAATCAAATAACCCCATGAATTTTGATGAATATTATCTGATAGGTCACCTCTTTTATGATACCCACTGATTGGCTGTAAGTTTTTCCGGTATCATGTCTTTCCGCTATCATAGTCGAACCCTTCCTTTCTTCTTACATAGCTTGCTAAGTAGTTAGCACCTCTTTTCCTACTGCAGTGCATAATCACCTAAAAGGTCAAAGCAAGATGATGAATTCCATGCTCAGAAATTTCACAAGGACAACCTATGTTTTCATGTATTAACTATTAACCTTAGAATTATATATTGTCATCTATATATTTTCAGAACTGGCCTGAGACAATTCTAGAATCTAAAATATCATTTGGATGCCATAGAAGACCTGAGACCATTCATAACCAAATCAAACATCAAAATATCAAAAAACAATATTTCGAGAAACAGATAAGGCCTTTGACATGATTGACTTGTAGCTTCAAAAATATCTTTGTATGACAGTATCTGAAGAAACACCTTATAAAAAATGAATCACTTTATATGCTTGGTAGATGCTTAGGTTCCTGATTTCTGATAGCACACTCCCAAAACACTACCGTACAAAGCAAAAACACAACATGATCCAGAATAGATAGTTTTCAGAAAAGAAGATAGAGATGAAGTTAGTCCATTAACTTTATACCAAAAAGAAATGAGAAAATCAAAGAAAGATGGGAAAAGTATTTTGAAAAATTATTACATGAACATCATGTAGAAGGCACTAATGGAGGAGATAGTAACTAAGTTATTTAATAAGATAATAAAAGAAAAGAAGATGCCTAATGAGTGGAGAAAGAGCAGTATGGTACCTATATTTAAGAACAAAGGTGATATAATTGTAATAGCTATCAAAGGATTAATCTCATGAGGTACATTATGAAACTTTGTGAGAGAATTAACTGAGCAAAGGTTATGACATGAAACAAGTATATTATATTTTATATATATATATATATATATATAAACAATTTTGGGTTTCTGCCAGGGAGATCAACCATGGAAGTTGTCTTCCTTTTGAGATGATTTATAGAAAAGTTTAGAGAGAATAAGAGAGAAAGCATAGAGCCCTAGAGAAAAAATATGGTGAATGGTGGAAAAGAAAGGGGTTCCAAATATGTATATAGACCTAATTAAGGATATTTAGAGGGTTTACCAACCAATGTTAGAACACCTATGGGAGAGATCAGATTTTACAGTTACAATGAATCGTTACCAAGGTTCAATACTTAGCTCTTATTTGCACTGATCATAGATGAATTGACTAAACATATTCAAGATGAGGTCTTCATGGTGCAATTTTTTATTAGCAGAAAAATTATTTTATTATATATAGCATGCACATGTATAGATTATTGGATTGTTAATAGACAAATAACCACTTACAAAATTTCCAATCTCTTGAGGCAAGTAATTCCTGCAACGAGTCATATGCAACATTCTGCAAAAGAAAATGACTTAGGAGCTCTTTAGATAAATATGAATCTCAAAAAAGGAAAAGAAGATGCAAATAAAATCAAAAAGAGGAAAAATTTGGAATCAAGCACCATGTTATAGAGAGATCCTTTTACAAAGTAAGCTTATTGTAATTGAAAGTGAATCAATTACCAATTTCAAACTGGCACAAAAAAGGAGAAAATTTGGATAGTCAAAAAAGGACTACAACAGCAACGAAAGCCACTGTCAAACTGATTTTATAAGCACAAAAGATTTTAACAATGGCTTGCCCACAATTACATAATGGCATATATACTAAAGTTCCCAAAACTCTCAGACATAACTAGTATAGTTAAAACATCACCTAGGTGTTGACTAAGCAACTGTCTAGGCACAATGTTTTCAACAGGATTCCCTGTCAATTTAGCCCCTGAAGTGCTTATTTAAAAAAAATGTTGACCAAGTCAATGACTTGGCAACTTCGAAGGTCCAACAGTCAACCCAATCAACAGGTCAAGGGTTAGACATGAAATCTCTTTTTCTGTTTTTGTTTTTTTTTTTGTATTTTTAACCATTTCTATTGTTAATTAATATATTGTGAATATATAATATTAGAGACAAACCCAATTTTGATCTATGATATGGATTCACCCATTTCACCTGGACAGTCGAACCACTAACCTACCACCTGAAAGGAAAGGCAATTCCATTTCTAGGTAGGCGAAGATATAAGTATCTTAGTGGGTGTAAAGAACTAATCATGCTTCATGCCCCATTTATATATTGATATAAAATGTGTGTAACCCATTTTGGATCACTAGGAGATTATGTAGAGCTAATAGTTGGGGCTCTTAATCCCTATTGTGTTTGTTTTCTTTATATGCAAGGAAGTTAACTAAAAATATTGTCATTTTTCTCTTACTATCAAGTATAACTTGACACTTAATCATTTATCAATTTAATTTGTAGTTTAATGGCTTATAATTAACACGTATATACATAAAAGGATTGGGTCCACATTGGAAGCACTCTATGCTCTTTGTGACTCTCTAAAAATTTTCTCCTTTTTGCATTTTGTTAAAAATAAAAGTAACCAAAAGGCTATGGATTCAATTGTCATTAGTTGAAATGTCCATTAATTATCTCATAATATAATTTACCATTAATTCAATGCTCTATTTATTATATTAGAAAAGTGTACTTAATATAAAAAATTAATATAAGATTAGATGTCTAATAATATTAAAAATAAATAAATGAATTAATTTGGTTGGCCCATTCCTAACTAAACATCCCATATATTAGATTAGAAGTTGTTAATTTGAAGTATTAATTCTTTCCAAATTTAATTTTCAATTAATCCAATATTCTGTGTATTAGATAAGAAATTTAAATTCATAGAAAAATAAATATAGTAAGTAAGAAAAAAAGGATTTGTTGATATGTCTACAAAAAAAGTTTTAAACCATCGAAGTAGACCATATTTTTTTGAAATCTAATATTACATACACTAAAATATTTAATTCAAACAAATAATTATCATAGCATTAAACTATATATAGAAAAGGATTAAGCCCATGTCAGCAATTCAATTGTATGGGCCCGTGACATTATAAATCATATAAGAAAAATTTTTAAAAAGATAAAATGCAAAAATGCAAAAAACCATAGAAAAATAGCCATATCTTTGATATTATATATTCATCATAGTAAACAAAAATAAGTGTAGTAAAAGAGAACTATTGTTATTAATGATGGAAATGACCGAAAAAACAAATAAGAGATCTAATATCTACCATGTGACCCATTAACCAGGTCAAACGGTTTAATGGTTAAACTGAATGGATAACTAGGGCATTAGTTGCACTGATTTTTTTTTTTTTGCAAGTAAACGGTTCATGGACTAAATAGACCTAAAAGCCTAGCTGGCTGATGGGTCATCCAGTCTTACTTGTCAGGTTAATGACAGGTTGAAAACATCGATATTTTGGTAAGATTTTAGTTATAGAGTCAATTGAGTAAAAGCAGATGGGCTTTTATTTGGATCTAACCCATATAAATGTATTTATAGGATAAAAGAGTTGGATTTAGTTTAGGTTATATTAAAATGGATGGATATGGATCCTATTCATGGAACCACTCAATTCCAAATCAGATCTGGTAAGGCAACAAGGCCTAGAGGCCAGAACTTTTCAAATCTGGAATTCTGGATTCAGATTTTATTGGATGTCACAACTCCTCTACGGTCTCTATGACTCCTCTAAATTTTTGTGTTATATTTTACTATTTGAAAAAAAGAAAAACAAAGAAAAAGCATCAAATTCAAGGCTACTTAAACTCGCCCACAACCAACTGAGTGTCCTTTTGTATTAGGAAACTAAGTCTAATCGTGTAAGCATGTTTACACCAATCTGCACATCACAAGGTCTCTTCCGGTATACTTGTAATTTATTCATTTTTGCCATCTAGGTGATCTCTAGTTTTTGCCTAGGCATCAACTCACCAAATCAGGCCAAAAACACCTCTCTGCCTTAACTACACTGTATGATCTATTTCTAGGTTTCTAACATAAATATGAATTCATGTGGTTCACATGCAGAGGATTGGGTATCCACTAATGCTAAGCTTAGTCTAAATGTTTCTTTTTCCTGCACCTTTTGGTAAGATATAAGAATATTTGAATTTCTGGCATAGGGCATTTGATTCATGGCCTCTAAGAGGCTATTTGGATAGCATACTAGAATTTGGATTCTGTGCAAAACCAAATTCTACAATCAATTCTAAAATCTAGCCTTATTCTAGAATCTATGTGCAACCTGTTTCAACTTCTGGACTGATTCTGGCAAAGTTATTAGAATTCCAAAATTCCAAATTATTTGAAATTTTACAGTGCCATGTTTCATAATCTGGATAATTCCAAATTCTAATTGATTCTAGTATGCAACCAAATGCCCCTCAAGTGTCATTACATATTTTAAAATATGGTTACAATTATCATGGACAAGATGAAGCACAACTAAACTATTTACGATATTTAATAATAACAAATTATATTTACAATTGAATCAATTTAAACAGTTTGACATTATAATTACCTGGCCAAAATGAAGCAAACTATGACTATAGAGATTGTAAGTGAAGTTCCCAAATTTAAGAGTATGTGAAAACTCAGGAGGCAGAGGCTCACTTGAAACAAATGTGACCTGAAATAAAAGTACAGCACCGAATAAAAATGCCAATTCGATATCTCATACTTCTGAACTTTGCTCTACATAGTATACAAAATTGTAGTAACTTGTCTGCAAAACTGGAACTGAAAAATGTAAGAAATTCTGCATTGATCATTTTATCTTTTTCTTGTTCCTTTTTGGATTAGTTGATCATTTGATGAATAGACAACAGTTTTTCATACATTCAAAACAGCATACATCTTTGTATATAGTAGTCACCTTCCTATTTAAGAGAATTTCCAGTACTTTGAAATGTCTTTGGATTCTTTAACGCGAAGGAAAAAAGGACAGCTCAACCAGCCATCTAAGAACAAGCAATGGCTAAATGACTGTAAAATGAATAAAGTAAACATGAGGATGTTGAAATGGATGAGTGACAGGATTACTGGATTAGGAAGGATAAGAATTACTACATCCAATAGAGAGTAAAAACATAGTAGACCTAACAGGTGACAAATGAGAAAGTACTGGAACTATGTTACTCTACCCAAATGCATGTTCTTGCTTTCTATTGCAAAAAGCGTGTTGTGAAAGCACATTAATAAAACCCATTTCACAGCACAAAGCCTACAGTAAAAGCCCAAAAGCAGCGTTCTGCTTTTCTACTTTTAAAAACATAATAGCAGAAGTCTATCCAAACAGCACCCTATTCAAGTTGAAATCTCCACAACTGTTTTGAAGAAACTGAAAAAGAATATGATTCAAATCTACTACAGGACAAGGACCCTGATAGAGTGGACTGATGAAGCAGATTGCGGAACCAACCCCAAATAGTTGGAAAAAGCTTATTTAAGTTAAATTGAGAAACTAATCTTAAATACTATGAACAAAAGGAATAGAAGTGAAGGAAAGAAAGCTAAACCTGAGCAGAAGCCCCACCAAGTTCAATTATCCCAGTTGTATTCTGAGGATCACCACCAAGTGTGCCAAGGGCATAATTTGCCGCAACCCAGGCATATAAACCTTCATCAGAACCTACATGAGATATATCATCTGATATTAGGGTTCTAGAATGTGAATTCAGGGTCTAGTTATAAATTGCAAAAACAATGAAGATAGGGAAAAAATTCAACAAGGTATCAAGTACAAAGAAATAGATTTTCCCATCTTCACAAAGCAAGACAGTAATTGATTAGCACATAGGAGTCAATTATAACATAAGCAAACCATAAATCTCTTTAGGTCTGTAATAACAGAGAATGAAAGTTAGAGTTGTGTTCAAAAATTTCTGCAAGGCCTTTGAAAGATTTCAAAATTTGCTAAGTAGAAAGATAAAAACATTTAAAAAGAGCAAGCTATCAAGATAAAGAACTAGGGTTCATGCTTCATGGTTTTACCTTGAACCCTATTGTATTTAAAAAATAACAACAAACAAACAAACTGATTAAAGGGATAATAGCTGTGTTACTCAGCCGAAAGCAGCATATAAGCCACACCTCTGGCCGAATCGGGATTTGCTCCTGACAGAGCGCACCTCACACCGACATCACAGCCCCATCCCACCGTGTATTGGGAACATCTCCCAATGAATAAAACATAAAATACAGGAGATGTTCCCGATGTGCGGCTAGGACACGTTGAGGTTGGCGTGAGAAGCCCTCTGTGACAGTGAGAAGAGCAGATCCAGACTCTCTCTGGCCCAAGTTTGCTTCACTGCATGACTTACTAGGGGAAGAATCGCTTAGTTGGCCTGTAGATAAACCACAAGCAGGAGGATCGAGCATTTACAAGTAGAGTTGAAACTTGACATCGAGGTCCAAACATGATAACCAACTGAAATGCCTCCTATTCACGATTCACCTAATCAGCCAACAAGAGACTGGTTTTCTCCGCATACCCCCTTCATCACTTCCCTCTACCTCGATAGAACACAGGCCTGTTTATCAGTCAGCGAAGCTAATAACCTATTAACCTCCCACGTTCAAAGCAATAAATTCTGACACGCAGATTAAAATACCAAGTACAGTGTTGCCTGTGTAAATTGCAACTGGTCTTGCCTAGGTTGCAGGACGAATTAGATAAAAGAGTAAAGTTTCAATTGCATGAAATCGCAAGGAGGTCGAAAGCCCAAACCATTACCTGTGATAACAGAAGCCCAGTGATCCCGAAATAGGAAATCTGAGTCACTAAGAACCTTCCTGCAGGAGTCCAATATCCGCTCCTGAATATCTAAATCAAGCCTCCGCAAACCCGCAGTCGCCATTAGCCTAATTTCAGTCTCTCCCCAATGATCCTTCGGAATTCTCTCCTTGGCAAATTTCAAAAGCTTCAACAGGGAACTCGCGGCATTTTCTGGGTTCGCCGAATACGAAGATAGACCCGGATTCACCCTCATGGACGCCAATCCATCCTTCCCAAAATCAAAGAGAGGCACTCCTTTCCCGTTGATAGAGAACCGAAACACGTGAATTCGAGTACCGGTGCTCCCACCGTCCAAAACAATGGCAAACTTTCTCTTTGAAAATGGAGAATTTCGAGAACCTCTTGCATTGACGAATAGATAACAGAACAGGGTGATACTTACAACAACCGCAACGAAGATCCAGAGATCTCCTCGTGGCGTGCATTTTGTATTGGATGTAGAAATTCGAGAAAAGAATTTGTTGGAACGAGGGGGGTTGGGCCGAAAGTGGAGCTTTACTGTGTCCATCTTCTTTTGAGTTTGTACCGCCGGAGTTGGAATATTCGATCGTCGCATCGAAGAAGAAGAAGAAGAGAAAGCTAGAGTGAAAGAAGAATCATGAGAACATTAGGGGTTTCTGAAACCCTGGGATTTTGCAGAGAAGGGTGAACGGATAATTGGATAAGGAGGAGGAGGAGGAGGAGAGGACTGTGAAAGCTCCGCCCTCTCTCTCTCCTTCTTCGTCTAGTCGCGCGCCATTTTGGTTTCTGCATGAGGAGATTATAAGCTTTTGCCTCTGAGCGAATTTTCGGGGGCCGGTCCAGTGCAATTTGTGGACCGGGCTTTTTGACCATGTAATAGAGTCATGCACGTGAGGTGAGTTGGCTGCTTTGTGAGTCGTCAGATCTTCCGGAGAGCACCCCACAGTGGTCCGAAGATTGCAAACTCTTGCAACATAATCGGGAACAAGGAACAGAATAAATTCACGTCAACGTCGGTTAACGACTGGCGGTGGCGGGAAAACGAACGAACATCGAAACGATACAGGTTACGGGTTACCATTTACCAACCACAGCGTCTCCGCTTGTCCGGTGAGGAAAAGCCTGCTAACACTATTCTAATTTCTAACACAGCAATTCAGCCCCATATCGGGAACATCTCCCCAGTTATTCTGTCGTAGCAAATCGAATCTGTCCATGGTTCAGGTCTGGCACTCTGGCCGCTCCTACTTTTTTTTTTAAAAGGTAAAAGTATGGGAAATTGTCTAAAACTCATCATCAGCAATTTTCTTAAATTCACCATAATCTTTCAAAACGTCCAAGAAACCTCATGTGGCTATGTCAGTTGTTTTTATTTTTCAAAACTCAACTTTGTTAGTATATTTTAATAATGTTTCTTAACAAAAATGGCCATGTCAGCATAAATAATAATTTTCATGACAAAATTATCCTTAAATGACGAATTAGGGGAAAAGGGTCATTTAGGTTAGGATTAGACTGAAATTCTCTCTCTCTGGTTTGAAGGTCATTGTCGCACATATCTACTATTTAAAGATCTACTAGTTTGAAGATTTGAAAGAAGGCAATCAGAAATTTCAAAGACTTTTGATGTTTTGAAACATTTGTAATGTATTATTTTGAATCTGGAATGTAAATCCCCATTGAGGGTTCTACAGATTCATGCAAAAAATATATATTTTTTTTGTAAATTTTTATTTGATTGTCTAAAATATTTTTTGAAAATTTGTTGCAATAATCTTTAGATTCAATGTCTAGTTTTTGTTTATTTTTTGAAAATATTTATCATTTTATTAGTTTGTTTGTAATTTTTTATATTTTCTAAAATATATAATTTAAAAATATCATTTTTTTTAATTTTTGCTTTTTTAGTTGATATTTTTAAATTTTTATCATTTTATGTATTTTTTTGTAGGTTTTTATTATCTTTTTGAAAATTTTATCACTTTCTTGTGTTTTTTACAATTTTTTACTTTTTTCTATAATATATAATTTTTGAATTTTTATCATTTTATGTATATTTGCAATTTATGTTTTTATCCAATCTTTATAATTTTTGAGTTTTTGTCTTTTTCAGTTTTCAATTTTCTTGTTTTTTCTTGCATTTTTAGTGTTATGCTATAATTTCAATGTTTTTATAATTTCTGTTTTTTCAGATTTTTTTATTTTCTATAATCTATAAATTTTCTGTATTTTTTGTTATTTATTTGTAATTTCTATGTTTTTCTATAATTTTAGATGCTTTTTTCTAAAATTTTCATTTTTCGATTTTGCTTTTCAATTTCTATAGTTTTTTATATTTTTTGTAATTTCTGTGTTTTTATGTATTTTAAATTTGAAAATAGTTTTTGAACATTTTCTTTTTTTTCATGTTTTCTTAGTTAAAATATTAAAATATATAGGTATATATTTTATATTTTTCTATGAGGAATAAAATGGTAATACATTAACTCTTGTTAGTCTGTTTAACGTCAAACTAGTGACATGGTGAATTTTAGACATTTTAAAAAGTTATAGTGAATTTAAGAGATAGATTGAAAACTCATGAATTTTAGACAATTTCCATAAAGATATACAACCAATATAAACACCAATAGATGATTTTTAAGACAACATTTGACCCATGCATGCATTATAAATTTACAATAGCAAACCTCTGCAATCCGGCAATCTACATCAAAAACGAGGATTTCCCAATCTACATCAAATATTGGTCTACAACCAACATTTGACCCATGCATGCATTAGGGAAAAGCACCCTCTTTCTGTTGTTTGCCTCCACTACCATTAGTATTAATCGGGTAAACGTCCTCTATCTTCTCCGTTTCAATTTCTGGATATACATTCTGTGATCCAGTCTTGCATCTCCAAGAACTGAATTATCTTCTCTGATTCATCCCAATCATCTTCGATTCTTGATATCTCCATTACAGCTTCACATGTTGCATGCCTTGACACACAAACCAAAGAAGAGCAATATTCTAAGAAGAATGAAAAGTTGCAACAACAACAAGAAAAGTAATAGCCCATTTAAGAATTCTTAGAGGATTCATTGCCAATAATTTCTTCTCCATGGAGGAAGATCTTGAGCTCAGTTTGAGTTTGATTCATTCCTTGAAAATGCTTTCGGGCAGGCATTAGCTCAATATATGTTTTATCCTCTCCTTCACTTCTATCTCTAATTCCCCTCTATTCTCTCCACTTTCTCATAAAAATAAGGTCATAATGTATTAAGTTTTGGTTTTCCAAATCAAACAATATTTATATCTATAGATGTGATTTCAAGCAAATAAAGAGAGGGGAATAAGGGGGATTGGATAATGTTTCCTATATATTTGTGGCATCCTCCATTATTGTTAAAAATTTATTCTTAGATAATAATCTATTATTGTAAATAATTAAATTACTATATATTACTACTAATCAATAGCAATTTCAATATTTTTTTGAAAACTATTATAAAATATTATAATTTATAGTTATTTAATTTACTGTTAATTAATTATAGAAAATTATTAGAATTGTAGGGATGGCAATTTTCCTTGTAAAACTAGGGCCCTATCTTGCCCTGCCCCAAACGGGGCAAGTTTTCTTAGATCTTGAACGGGGATGGAGCAGAGAAGGGGTGGGGACAAGAAAAATATTTTTTCCCCAAATTAGGGATGGGGTTTGCATATAATTCCATGAATCCAATGGTAAATTAGTAAAATATCTATATATTTAATATTGATTTCTAAAATATCTCTAAGTTTTCCTCATATTCTTATAATCTTAGGATCCCATAATTTCGTTTATAAAATACCCCTAAATTGTCATAATCCAAATCCTAAAATACCCCCAAATTCCCATAATCCTATTTGTTAAATATCCATAAATTAGATTTTTTAGATGATTGACTTAAGGGGGTGAGGGACAAGGAGGGATGCCCCATCCTGTGCATCACATGGCCCCCGCTATTGTCATTTAGATAATAGCTACCTAGTTTTTCCCTTTCATTTCAAACTAAAACACTTTTTCTTTTTAATCTTGACAAATCGTATTTTTAAAAACCATGTTCCTTGTTATCCAAGTTATTTTTTTCTTATTTTAGTCAATACAACTCAATCTTGATCCCTTAACTATTTGGGGTTACCTAAAATAATCTAGTTTTACAATTGTTAACGATCAAGGGTGATTTCTTTTTATAAATTTATTAACTCTCTAGATCATTTCTTACCACTTCCAAACACATCTCATTGAATCTTCCTCCTTGACCTTTTAAAAGCTCTTACTTGCACCAAGACATCTGACCAACTATCTCAGTTGATGCTTCCCTCATTTTATCTTTGATGATTGGAACCACTCGTAAGTTCTCTTTAGTATACTGGCATTGTAGTCTTGTCATTCATTCTTCTTTCATTTATGGTGTGCCAAAAAGATATGATACAAGAAAACTTATAGGGTAGAAGACTTAAATATACCTTAAATTTTGACTTAAACATACCTTATTAAGTGGCCCCAATGGGACTTAAACGTACCCTCCCATGGTAAAACGCTTAGAACTGTTAACATTAACATCCCATGACCCATCTGAATTTTTAAAAACCTTGTTTTGCCTTTTGAAATGCTTCTCCCATCTGGTTCAGTATTTCATCCAGAAAATTGTGCAATAGAGAATCTGAGAGACTTGTCACCACGGAGGCTTGAGCAATGCACAAAATCCATACCTGTGCTTGAAGGAGTGTTCAATGGGATCAAATGTTGGTGCCAAAGTAATACTCCATGACTGAATTCACTCATGCTCATGGAGACTGTCCGAAGTTAAAAGTGAGGATTCAAAGGGAACTTTAAGCAGTGAAGGGATCACTATGGATGAACAAATCTTAGAGTGTGACTTACAAATAGCTATCCAGGAGGACTATGCTCAAGCAACCAAAATAAGAGATAGCCTTCAGCTTCTCCATGAAGATAGCAAAAGGCTTCAGTTCTAGCGGCAAATGCACCATTCTACAATTCCTTCAGATTGGAGATCTGGCTATAACACAATCCCTCTAGGCAAGAGGGGAACATGTCAGTTGTGTGCACCCTGGTGTGGCTAGAATATTTGGTTATTATATTATCACGAGGAGTTGTGAATTTGTGTGGATAGAATATGAACTCCCACTTGAGCTTTATGTTAGTCCGGCAATGTTGGGTAAGTATAATATGCACAGAAGTAGTTAAGTAGCATTTGGGGGGGAAGGGAGGGCAGCTTGCTTTTAAGCTCTTTTCTTTGTTTAAAGTTTTGACTACATTTGGTTTCCATTTTGTTGCATTCTAAGCTCTCTTCTATTGTGCAATGCTTAATTATTTATTTAAAATTTACATTATATGCATTCTGTTGGCTAAGAGAGGAGGAGGGGGTTGATGGAGTTGAAAGTGGGGCTTTGATTTTTCTTTAATTTTGTTTTATCACTTATTTTCTTTAAAAAATTGAAGTATTACGAAGGGCAAAATAGTCTTTCCATTGATACTGTAAAATCTAACCATCAGAAGATATGCTTAAGTCCATCCAAAAATCTAAGGGTATGTTTAATCAATCAGGTGGGTTATCATCAAAGTTCATGATAGTTGATTGGTCAATATTTTCTGGTATCATATCTTTTTAGCATCATAGCTTCTCCTTTAAATCCATGTATTGGTTACATTCATTTTTTGAATATTATTGTTTTATCATAACAATACTAATTTTAAAACTTTAACTTTTTTTAATATCATTGCTATATTTCAATTATACATAGTATAACAGAC